GCGTGGGTATCGAAAACGCAACGGGTGCCTCAGACATCTCTGTGTGTCCGGACTCAGGCATCCCCAGATCCAGTTAACGTGACCCTCCGGAATGGAATGTAACACAAGAGAGCCACAGAATTACTGTCTTTTATAGCACCTGGGTTTTTCTTTTTAATGTGAATTATTTCAAATGCAATTGAGAAACAGGAAATCAGGATTCTAGGAGGATCGTACTAGTTTTGTACGTGTTTATGTTTTCAAGTGATCGGGGTAAGTTTTCTCACAAGCAAAGACGAAGCCTTAGCAAATATGAAAATCTTAAGAAAAAACTCAAAAAATCTCCAGAGGTGCCTTTCTTTTAGGGCAAACGGTGGTTGTCACGGTGGCCTTAACAACCTTTGGGTTTCCTGCCACAGTAAACTCTCTGGCGAAATCGTTGAGTGCTGATGAAGTCACCAAAATGTTTCCCCTTTAGTGAGATGACGACTTGATGAAGGCTACATCCCTGATATTTTAAATTTAGATGAAAATGGTCTCCTCACATCTTGGAGGAGGAAGCAGAGTTCAGGCTGCAAAGGTGTCACTAGATGCAGAGAACATTCCTTGTGCTAATCACTTTACTAGGATGGGGATTGTTTATGCTAGCGCTTGGGTCAGAGCTCTAGTGGTTTTGAATGATCTGCTCCAACTCTGCCTCTCCCACAAGCCCTGATACTTGCAATGCCCAGATTTGTAGCATGCAGCTGTAGCCAAAATACGGGTGTATCTTCACCCGGCAGTTAAAGCCCCAGTGTGACCCGTGGAGGGACGATAGTGTGGAGGGAGGTTAAGAATGAAGGGTTGGAGATGACGATTAGAAGGTCATTAGAAGAAATTAGAATTGGGCCTCTGGCATCATCTAGAGGAAATAGCTCCTGATTGCGCTCCAAATTCTTGGCGTTGAAACATGTCTGGTTGAGACGAAGGCGATGCATCAGACTATCCTGGCGTAACAAGAAAAGAGGGAAAGAAAACAGTAAAGAATACTTAATTCACTTATGTCTAATTCCATGTTTGCTCTGCAGTCTTCCACTCTGCAGTCTTCTAACCCAGGATGGGTTTTATAGGATTTCCCACCAGTGCCAATTCTGATTGACTGGCCGTGGCTGGCTGAAGCCGTGAGGTGGGAAGAATGCCACAGCCACTGCTGGATTCAGTGGGAGAGAAGGCCACAGTTGATTAGTGATGGCTGCCAGGAGTTGGCCCGCTGGGGTCGCCACGATCATCTATGACACAGTTGAGATTTGCCCACTTGGAGCACGATATTTAGAAGGGAGACAAGACTAGGCATAAATACAGCGCAAAATAACAAGCAACATCACAGGTAAAATAACACCTTGGAAAGGTACTTACCCTGCCTCGCAGGGCACGAAGGCCTCAGAGCGGGTGTTAGTTCTTGAGGGATGAGCAGTTTGCTTGACAGAGAAGAGAGGAACGGTGCGGCTTCACCACACAGGATGGCTTGTTCAAAGTCACAGAAACACGACAAAGAAGGGCATGTTTGCAGAAGGTCGGTGTGAATGTAGACAGGACACAGGCAAAGGTGAGAGACAGGACAAGAGCTGAGGCTCGAATGCAGGGAAGACGTGATCATGGAAGGACTTCCATGGGGAGCCGACAAGCTTCCGTTTCATTCTACAGGTGGAGAGAAGGCATAGAACACATTCACATGGGCTAAAATAGCTTAGAAATAAAACTCCTTTTTCTGCTTCGAATTTGTATGTCTGGTCCAGTCATCACCTAAGCATCTAGAAATGTTGCATTCTAGAGCAGCAGCAGATGCAGCAGGACTTTTCTCTGACCAGCCCTGGTACACACGTGAGCTAAGACAACCTGGGCTTCCAAGGTGGCGGTTCAGCCCTGAAGTCTGTCCTGAAACATAGCCCTGAGCTGTGGTTCCTCACTGCAGCTCATTCCTCACTATAGTGACAGCTTGTGGCTTTGATGATCACATGCCCCTCTGGTGAGGGGCCGACTGCATCACTCGGGGGAAGGAGCTTTGCCAGCTCACGCTCTGTGTTTTCGTATTTTCCTCCTTGTGTAATTGCAAAATGGACGATTGCACCTAAATGCAGGGAGACTGGCTTCCTCCACACTGCAGACGGCTCTCCGGCAGCCCGGCCTTGCAGCCACGTGGCCTGCCATCTGGCATTTGCCACTCATCAAATGGAGTCACACAGCTCTGATAAATTATCCCCTCCCCTTGGGCAGAACTTTCTCCCTTCAGCTCCCTCCTGCCTAATACTTGCTAATGTTGAGTAGGGTATGGTTTCTCTGTACAAGGATATCAACCAGAACGTATCAAACTTTTACCACAAATGGAGGTTTATGAGTGTGTGCGCGTGTGTGTACGTCTAAATTGTACATAGACACACACATATGTATGTATATATATGAACACATATGAATGGGTTATCCCATTTATGTGAATTTTCTAGATGCATTAAGCTAAGAGATTATTGAATTTTTTTGTTTTGTTTTAAATATTATACATACATATGTGCATGCATTATTTTGTATTGTTCATATGTGCATATGTATATACGTATATGCATTAGTTGTCCCATTTAGATGAATTTTCCAGATGCATAAAACTATCAGTGACTATCACTCATTTGTGTTTCTTTTATTTAAATCAAGTCTTCATGGAAATGTTTCTGACAGTTTCTGAAAGTTCCAGAGTCTGCTTGCTCTATTCGAATCTCTTTTTCCTCATCTCCTAGCTCTCTGTCCTTGGGCAGGTGACAATCTTCCTGAGTCTCAGTGTTCTCCTCTATAAAATGAGCATAGTCATAACCACCTCGCAGGGTTGCCGTGCTCATGAAATGGGTGCACATGTAATGCAGTTGGCGTGCCGTGAACATTCAAGAAATGCTAAAGAAAAAAGAAAAGACAAGACAAGAAAAGAAAAAAAGGAAGGAAGGAAGGAGGGAGGGAGTGAGAGAGGAAGGAAGAAAATGATAACTATGTGAGCTGATACATTAGTTAGCTTGATTATGACAATGATTTTACAAAGTATACACGTATACCAAAACATCAAGTTGTTCACCTTAAATATATACAATTTTTATTTGTCAATTATACCTCAAGAAAGCTAGCAAAAAAAACTTAAAAGTTTTCATTTGTATATTAGCGACATGGAACTTTAAATGTCTATATCTTTAGGAATTCAACAAAGAAATACTTGTACCTAACCTCCTTTTTTTAAGTTTATTTATTTATTTTGAGAGAGAGAGAGGGAGGGGGTAGGGGACAGAGAGAGAGAAGGGGAGAGAGAAAATCCAAAGGGGGCTTCTCACTGCAAGTACAGAGCCCAGAGCTCATAACCTGATCCAAAACCAAGAGTCAGATGCTTAAGTGACCGAGCCACCCAGGTGCCCTCCCACCCCCCTTTTTAAAGCAAAATATGGCTTGTAAACAAAAAAAATCTATGCAATGTTTTTCTGGTTTTAAAAAATTATAAAAGCATGTACTAAGTCAGCCTATCTAGAACCAAATCTCAGCCCCATAATCCAAATAGTATTTGTTATATATCTTGATTTTGGAAGGGTGGGGGGTAACGTTTAAGTAAACAAGTCTTCCTGGGCCTTCCTTTCCGTGAAAACGTGTAAGAGAGCAGAACGATCAGGTTGTCGTCTGTGTGAACGGCATCCCCCGAAGTTGGGCCAGGGTGTGACCCCAAGTGAGACTGCCTTTGTTCTATAGAGAAAGAGATTTTATTATGTTTTTTAAGTAAACTCTATCCCCAGTATGGGCCTCGAACTCACAACCCCAGGACTGAGCCACATCCGCTACGACTGAGCCAGCCAGGTGCCCAGAGATCGCCTTTATGATAAACTTGTGTGATGTGGATTTTAGGGGTTTTGGGTGTGTCAGGAGCCAAATCCTCTCAGTGTCCAAGGTGACTGAGTTCACCCCCCACCACCCACTCATTCTCCAGGCTCGGATTGACTATTAGCAACATCCATCCCAAGTCTGGGAATATTTTTTTTTCTCCAGGAAATAACCTCTGTGCCCTTTTCACCATTTCAAATGTTTCAAACCTGGTTCTATAAAATAAAATAAATCCCAGACTTCAGCTCATTCTCTCCCTTTTGGCTCGTAAGTAAGTCAATTCTACATTTTTAATAGACCTGTGTCTATAAGTTTTATACATTTTAATTCTGAAACACTAGATGCCTCCTATCTTGTCTCTCAGCCATGCCCCTTCCTCAGATTAGCCCTACCACACACACACACACACACACACACACAGTGTGACCAACCTCACAGTTTCCTAAACACACATTGTTCTTTCTTGCCCATGGACTGAACAATGGGGTGTTTGTCCATGATGCTTGTTCTCTTTAGGAAACCCTATTCCTGTTTTCTACACTGTCAAACTCCTATGCATCCATCAGAACCCAATTTAAATGACCTGCCACCTCCTCTTTGAAGGTTTCTCTATCTGTTGTGCTGGGTTGGGACCCCCCCCCCGCCGCCGAGTGTTTCCACAGCACCTTCTTATTCACCCTGTCTTAGCCCTCAGACACTGTAATGTGCTAGCAGTCTGTGCTGAGCTGGAAAGACCTTCAAGACACATTCCTTAAATCTCTGCTGTTTACCTTGTCTAGCCCATAGCTGGGCCTCGATAATCAGTAAATGATTTCATGAATATCATTCCCCCCTTATCAAAAAAATACTGTGCCTTCAGCTAATTGAGCATATCATGACCTACCATTTTTGAAGTTCGGCACACTTGAGAGAAGTTTATCAAGCGACCGAAAATGCCAACATTTGAGAACGTCAGCGTAAATACTTGGGTGAGGGGAGGGGTTTGGGGTCCTCGTGTGGTGCGCTGTTTCCTTGATAGAGAGTGTGATTTCTCCAGGCAGAGATGCTTCCCAGGGTGGGTGTTGACATAGCTGCACAAGAGGGCAGAGAATGTCAATTGCAATTGTTTTCTTTATTTGTTGTTGTTGTCGGTTTTAACATTTTAGGTTACAAATGCCCCTGACAACTCTCATGGCCAGTTGACCCTTCATCTGGAACCTTCCCTCGTGTGTGGAGGGGATGGGTTCACCCAGTCCAACTTCGACGGCTGCGTCTCTTCTGCCCTGTGTGTTCTGGAAGCTTTAAAGAACCATGTTTAGCACCTGGATCTTTATTCTCTATATGAGCTTGCGGTTTGGGGGTTCACAATTCCCCGTGATCGATTATTTTGTTTTCTATTTTGTTGAGAGAAATTACTGGAAAATGTCTCATATGGGGTATAAAATTGATTTCATGATTCTGATATTTACCACCCATGTTACAATGAAGATTCTTTGTACCATGCACCTTTCACGGGGGTTCTGAATTGCCATGAATACTCCTGGTTAAAGAAAAATAATGTTTAAGAATAACAAAGGACCCTTCCCCCAAAAGAGCGTGTCAAATCAAAATAATAGTTCATGTTCCAGGCCTTTATTCTTTTGAGAATTTCAATTCCAAATAAAGAATAATTATTATCAAATCTTCATTTTCAGTCTTGGAGCCTGACCTTGATTCAATGTTTCTGCAGATTGCTGAACTACTCGATTCCGCTGAACTGTGGATAACACAGTGTAATTTCTGTCTCTCGCAAGTTATTACATGATCCTGAATTGTAGGTCATAGATATCGTCATCATCTCTAGGACTGTGGTGGGAGGGCAACTGACTGACGAAGAAGCCTGTCTTCACATTTTCAGAAAATAACCAGATTCAACTGGACCTTCCAAGTCATACGATGGTTTTTAACCTTAAAAAAAAATCAGTCTTATTCTGAAAATGACAATTAAACAGAAACTGAGTGAAAATATATCGATCTCTACCTCCTGCTCTCTCTGATGGCTGGTGCTGGTACCTTCGTGCATTCTCCAGGATGTGCTGTGGCATTTAGACTGTGTCAGGTTTAATGAATTTAATACGATGAGAAAATTTACTGAGCTAGAAAATAGATGCACTTAAAATAGTTCAATATTTGCCAACTGGGTGGTTCAGCATATCACCCACATGCTCCCCATCACTCGCTGGCTGGAGAGAAATTGATCCCAGGCCTTCTAAACAAGCTACTTGTTGCTAATTTGAAAAGCAAAATGGTGAGTCCTATTTTATAATTATGCAAGCAAAGCAATTATTGCGGCCTCTCAAACTATTAAGAGTTCAACAAAATATTTCGTGCCTTGGTGGTATTTACAGTTTCGTACTTACATGCTTCCTATCACATAGACATACACATTTCTGCGTGGGCAGAAATAGCTTATGCAGCACAAAGTGGGCTTTGTGATCCTATGGGATGTTGTTATATGTCCTTTTAGCAACCAACTATGAAACACTGGCATGCCTGCATATGGTCAATGTCACTTATTTTTGAAGGCAGAAAAAGGAAAAGGGAAATTAAGTGATTTCTGGTATGATATGATGAGGAATACTGAGATTTCTTTCATCGTTTTGGCCTCTATTTGATCATTTTGGTTTTACCCTTAAAGTACAGCAGAAAAGACTCAAATGTGCTAACTCTCTTGTTTTTAATGACTGTACTTCTGGAGCCATTTGACACAGAGCATCCTGAAGCCTGAAGGACAAGTGTTATATTTGTCTCATGAATGTGTATCCTCCAAAGAAAAGACAAAGAAAATGACTTACAAAGTTGGGGTGAGTTACTTGGAGAAAAGATTCTTCCAAGTCATTATTACTAAGGGCTTTTAAATATCAATGCCTTCTACGTATGTTTCCCTAATAATGCTGCATCTGTTTTGAGAAGTCTGTGGCAAATATGCGAAGAGACTCAGCCCTGCCTAGTAGGTAGATCATTTGACTTTGCTCTTTCAGTCATTTTGAAAACTCATTTTACATTTAGATCCATCTCTGCAAGGAAAAGACCAATTTCCTGATGCTCAAATAAGGAAATAAAATTTATCCAGTGCTTGTGTTCTTTATTTTCATTCATCTCTTTCCCTTCAGAAATTGAAATGAGTAGAGAAAAATCTGGAAGCCATCCCAGAGAGCCACGAAACTCATATGGCCAGGATGCCCTGAACAACTCAGTGTGGGGGCGTCCAGTGCCACCCCCACCCCGGGAAATAAGAGTCAGCAGTATTGGGAGATGGGGTGGGGGTGGGGGGTGTATGTCAGCCCCACGGGACCACACAGCACCACAGTATTTCCAAACAAGAACGTTTATTAAATCAAGCCAGCCACGGAGAGCTGCTCTGTTTTGAAAGGAGCATATTTAAGTGAGAAACGGCTCAAGCAGTGGGGTGATTTAATACTTGTTAGCTGATAAATATAGCCTCCGCCAGAATAAAACTTTATGATGCAGTGTTGAAAAGCTTAATTACTAAACTGTCTATACAGGTCTTTCTTGCTCCGGCAGCAAGGGTGACAAATTATAGCAGTGGAATAGTATTTTTCACCTTTGGCATTTCTGAAAGGGAGAAGTATGTCTAGAAACACCGAGAAAGCGGTAATAATCCCGGACCAGATATTACTGAGGGGAGGGGGGGAGGGGTAGGAAAGACACCTCATTGAGTCACTAAGCCTTCTGTGCAAAATGCCATCATCCCCACCCCCCGCCTACCCAGTACCTTGTTAAGTATAAAGAACAAGGTCAATTTCACATTTATCTGGTATTTTATACTCATCCAAGTATATATATATATATATACTTTCCATCCTCCTAAAGCCCCTCGGGCAATATGCAGAACAGGGAATTCTTATTCACATGTGGCAAATTAGGAAACTAAGGCACAAAGCCTGGCCAGCCAAGGGCACATAATGATCTGTCAGGACAGGCAGAACCCACGCGTTCGTGACCCATTTCTATGTACAGGGCACCACGCTGCTGGCAGGGGAGAGCCGTCAGAAAGCTGGGCTGAAGTCGGAGTTACTGAGGTTTCATCTCGGAGCGCTAACACTGCCGCCGATGTGATATATACACGCGTCTGGTGCGGAATAAAGTCTCTGTGAGTCCCGGCTGCGTGATTGATATTTCCGTTATTTTCATTTGCTGGCTTATTTCCTTCTTCGGGGGTCGCTCGCTATGAGAAATAGCTGTGCCCAGCTGGGGCCGAGTGCCTGCACAGGCACACTCGGTGAGCGCGCAGACCCCTGTCGGGGACTCGTTCGTCACTGTGGGTTTCTCCTCCTGCCCTCTGGCCTTTCTCATGCTTCCTCCACTGTGCTCAACCCTCCATTCTTAGAAACCTGGACTATAAGTGCAGTCACACTATGATTCATAGTATTTGTGATTCCTTGTTTTGATATATCTCCCTTCCCCCCCCCCCAAATGTAAAGCAATCTGGCTTCTTATTCAAGCTGATTGGACAATCACTGTTTTGATTTTCAGACATAATGCCAGAATCTAAAACTGGCTATAGCTTTCAGGGTTCTCAGTGCTAATAAGCTAAAACATATATGCTAAGCAGGGCACCAGACTCTGGACAAAAACAGAGCTTAATCAGCAGTGTCCACCTAAAGATTCCAGTTAGGGGCAGACAAGTCCCATAGAGCGGGAGGCAGGGTAAAGGTCCACATTGGTGTCATTTTCAAGCAGTTAATTAAGATGCTCTCACTCTCAAAGCTGGGAATCCAAAGAGAAAGAACCATGTTTTATTGGGGGCTGGGGGGGTCTCTGAAGAAAAGCAGAGATGTGTCAGTCAGACACATCCAACAACATCTCTCCCTCCACCCCATACCTGGGCTGACCTGGCTGATGGCATGAGTCCAAAGTGCATATCAATAGAGTCAAGATACAGGAGTGCTTTCGGTGCTGAAGGCTCAGCAGGGCACAGAATGTAATCTCTGGGAAGAAGAAAAAGGCTGAGCAAACCTCAGACTAGCTGGTGCAGGACTGAGCTGCTGTTTTCCAGTCGGGGATGTATTTGTGTTTCAGCCAGTACCATCTGGCCAGGAAAGCCAGGAAAGGTTCAAATGGTAATATGTTCTTCGTTTCCTTCTCAACGATGGACAGGGATTATAATCCGTTTAAGAGTTCACAGCAGAAGGCATCGAGTCAGCTAGGGAGAAAGAATCTTTAAGAGAGTGTTAATTTAAAACACATGTAGAATCATAGAATCCCAGGGGCGCCTGGGTGGCTCGGTCAGTTGAACATCCGACTTCGGCTCAGGTCATGATCTCACAGTTGGTGGGTTCGAGCCCCACATCGGGCTCTGTGCTGACAGCTAGTTCAGAGCCTGGAGCCTGCTTCGGATTCTGTATCTCCCTCTCTCTCTGACCCTTCCAGCTCATGCTGCCTCTCTCTCTCTCAGAAATAAATAAAATATTTAAAATTTAAAAAAAAAAAGAATCATAGAATCCGGGAATGTCTGAGTTTGGAGGGGCTTGGAGACCATTTAGACCAGTTCTTAGCCATCTTGGATTTCAAATCTTCATGAGAAGTTATGGAAAAATATGGATCTTCTAATAACAGCAAAAATGCACATATATACATAGAATTTTAGAGCCTGCTGGCTAGCTGCCTATTTTTGTAAATAAAGTTTTATTGGAACACAGCCTTGCCAATTCATTTGTAGATTGTCTATGGCTGTCTTTGCACTACAACAGTAGAGATGAGTGTTTATGGCAAACACTATATAGCCTGTAAAGCCTAAAATAGTTACTGTCTGGTCCTTTAAGAAAAAAAAATGCTGACTCCTGTTCTAGAGGGTTGCAAGGGCTCCACAGTCTATTTTTAGCCACCCAGAGGTCTTTGTACCCCAGATTAAGAACCTCTAAATCTCAGCCCTATCACTTTATGTAAATAGAGGCTTATCTTAGATCCACACATCTGGTCCATTGTTCCTTGATCTTACGCCCTATTGTAAATCCTTTAAGGCAAGCAGTGTAGCTTTGCAGTTAAGAGCACATCCTCTGGGGTTAAATAGATTGGTGTTTTAATCCAGACTTTGCTCCTCACTGTGACCTTGAGGCAGTTAAACAACCTCACAGCCTGCTTCATCATCTGAGAAGTGAGTTTAAGGTAGCTACTTTATAGATTGTTGTGAGGCATGAATGTAGATAAAAACTCAGCAGAGTGCTGGACACACAGCAGGTGCTTAATAAATGATAATAGCGATGATGAAACAGAGAGGGAAGAAGAGGATAAGCAGGTCCTCCTGGTGCCCCCAGGCTCCAGGCTTGTCTGAAAGCCAGTTTCTTCCGCATCTATTTAGGACATTTGGGAGAGTTGATGGTAAGGCCCCCAGGTGAGGTGACCGGAGACACGATGAAACACAGAAGCTTAACAGCGGCAAACCTTTCTTCAAACCTTCGTGTAACAGAATGATGGTGTCTAGCTGAGGCCAGCTATGGGGCACTTTCTCTTATTCTGCTCCAGGGGGTAAGCAGACACCTGTTGTGTGGGGAAAAGGTATTTTGCCAGATGATCCTTTAGCAGAAACCAAGATAGGTCATTACCAGGAGTAGAGCAGGTGCGAAATGTGGGAGCGTTCTCTGCAATGAACAGTGTCTTGTCCTTCGCGAGTATGGACGTTGCAGG